AACTTGGTAAAATAGCACCACATTTATGGAAGTTATCTCAGATCACACAAGGAACTAGTGGAGGATGGGACCACTAGGACCCGCGTCTCCAATTTCTTTTTCCTACACCCCCCTTGGAAAAGAAAGCATTGGGAAATAAACCATTCTCTGACTGTACGAGATCACATTGCTGTTGGCCAAAATAACAGTTCTGGCTAACTTCCACTCTTAAACTTTTCAAATAATATTTTAAAATTTCTGTAATAAAGGAAAAATTAACCCCCTGGAAATTTAAATGTGATACAAATTTCATCATTTTATTCACTTCATAAAAAAATCTGAAGTTATTGTGACATTGAGAGACCACAAATTCTTAGTCTATGTTTGAGTCCTATAAATGGTGCTAATTAAATTTAAAAAATGAATATTGAACCCTCTAAAGCCAGAGATGCGAGAAACTGTATTCAGAAGAGCAGGACACTCAGTTTGAAAGCCCATACCTGCTTTATCTGTCATTAGCAAACATGTTAGATATACATATCCTTTAGACTAAATCTAAGAAGTTGAATAATTGTGTTCATATAAATTTGGCATTTTGTTAATTCTCTGATATAATATTAGAAACAGTTCCTGATGGAATGTTAATTATTTTTCCAATTAGGTAAGTGTCATGTACTTCTTCTAGAAAATATTGGGAAAAAATGGAGTTTGTGTAGAGTTTATATCAACCAAAATATCCTGCTATCCAAAGAAAACCCTCGTTAAAATGTTGGGATATTTTGTGTGTGTATGACGTATTTTTTATTCTTATTACAGTAGGAATGTATGTTCATCATAGGGTGTTTAGAGGCTATAAATAATTAGAAGAAAATGAAAATCACAATTTGAGGACGCCTGGGTGGCTCAGATGGTTAAGCGTCTGCCTTAGGCTCAGGTCATGATCTCGGGGTCCTGGGATCGAGTCCCGCATCGGGCTTCCTGCTCCTTGGGAGCCTGCTTCTCCCTCTGCCTCTCTCTCTCTCTCTCTCTCTGTCTCTCATGAATGAATAAATAAAATCTTTAAGAAAAAAAAAAAGAAAATCACAATTTGAGAACTGCTTCAATAAATATACCATAATTGGAAAAAAAATTTTTTCCCTACCTTTGAACATTTAGGATATTAGTACATAATATTTTAAGCATATGAATGACACTTTGGTTCTATAGAAATAACTATCAGGTTTAAACCGTAAGAAAAAATAAGTATGCTATATTTTGACTTCTCATATTGGGAAAGTTTCAGGAAGACTGGATTATTCAATAATTTGCAGAGAGTTTAATGAACTGGAACGTAAGAAGGACCCCTGACTTTGGCATAGGGGGAGGAGTGAGAAGCAGCCAGACTGTAGGGGCTAAAGAAGTTAGGGAAGAATGGTAACATTTATAGACCACTTGTATGTACCATGTGTCAAAAAATAGCAGTCGAAAACTAAGAAGGGTTTCAGAATTTGCACACCAAGTTCAAAGAAACATTATTTTAGTGATGAGTGGATATTTATGAAAATTTTTAGTGCGTGATGAAGGAACTGGTGGAGAGAGAAATTCATGATGCTATGAGGTAATCCCAGTATCTCCATTCCAAGCCTAAAGATATAATTCCCTTAGGGACTTCTGACCCCCATTTGGGTCTCAGGATACTTACAGTCACTAGGCTTTCATTCAGCAAGTATTTGAAGAGTAGCTTACAAGTCTGAGTGCTGAAGAGACAACCATAAACCATACACAGCAGAAATAAGATGTGGTTCCTTCCAGGCCTAATAAATGAATATTCTACTAGTGGTACAAGAACTCTTTCATCTTTACCATTAGAATCATCTTTTTTTAAAATTTTATTATGTTATGTTAATCACCATATCTTACATCGTTAATTTTTGATGTAGTGTTCCATGATTCATTGTTTGCGTATAACACCCAGTGCTCCATTCAGTATGTACCCTCTTTAATACCCATCACCAGGCTAGCCTATCCCCCCACCCCTTCCCCTCTAGAACCCTCAGTTTATTTCTCAGAGTCCATAGTCTCTCGTGGTTCATCTCCCCCACCAATTTCCCCCCCTTCATTTCTTCCTTCCTACTATCTTTTTTTTTTTTTAACATATAATGTGTTATTTGTTTCAGAGGTACAGGTCTGTGATTCATCAGTCTTACACAATTCACAGCGCTCACCATAGCACATACCCTCTCCAGTGTCTATCACCCAGCCACCCCATCCCTCCCACCCCCCACCACTCCAGCAACCCTCAGTTTGTTTCCTCAGATTAAGAATTCCTCATATCAGTGAGATCATATGATACATGTCTTTCTCTGATTGACTTATTTCGCTCAGCATAAGACCCTCCAGTTCCATCCACGTCATTGCAAATGGCAAGATCTCATTCCTTTTGATGGCTGCATAATATTCCTGTGTGTGTGTGTGTGTGTGTGTGTGTGTATCACATCTTCTTTATCCATTCATCTGTCGATGGACATCTTGGCTCTTTCTATAGTTTGGCTATTGTGGACATTGCTGCTATAAACATTGGGGTGCACATACCCCTTTGTATCACTACATTTGTATCTTTGGGGTAAATACCCAGTAGTGCAATTGCTGGATCGTATGGTAGCTCTATTTTCAACTTTTTGAGGAACCTCCATACTGTTTTCCAGAGTGGCTGCACCAGCTTGCATTCCCACCAACAGTGTAGGAGGGTTCCCCTTTCTCCGCATCCCCGCCAACATCTGTTGTTTCCTGACTTGTTAATTTTAGCCATTCTGACTGGTGTGAGGTGGTATCTCACTGAGGTTTTGATTTGGATTTCCCTGATGCCGAGTGATGTTGAGCACTTTTTCATGTGTCTGTTGGCCATTTGGATGTCTTCTTTGGAAAAATGTCTGTTCATGTCTTTTGCCCATTTCTTGATTGGATCATTTGTTCTTTGGGTGTTGAGTTTGATAAGTTCTTTATAGATTTTGGATACTAGCCCTTTATCTGATCTGTCATTTGTAAATATCTTCTGCCATTCTGTTGGTTGTCTTTTGGTTTTGTTGACTGTTTCTTTTGCTGTGCAAAAGCTTTTTATCTTGATGAAGTCCCAATAGTTCATTTTTGCCCTTGCTTCCCTTGCCTTTGGCAATGTTTCTCGGAAGAAGTTGCCACGGCTGAGGTCGAAGAGGTTGCTGCCTGTGTTCTCCTTTAGGATTTTGATGGACTCCTGTGTCACATTTAGGTCTTTCAACCATTTTGAGTCTATTTTTGTGTGTGGTGTAAGGAAATGGTCCAGTTTCATTCTTCTGCATGTGGCTGTCCAATTATCCCACCATTTGTTTAAGAGACTGTCTTTTTTCCATTGGACATTCTTTCCTGCTTTATTGAAGATTACTTGACCATAGAGTTGAGGGTCCATTTCTGGGCTCTCTATTCTATTCCATTGATCTATGTGTCTGTTTTTGTGCCAGTACCATACTGTCTTGATGATTACAGCTTTTAATAGAAGTCATCTTAGATGCACTCATGTTGGCTCTGTCTTTTTTTTATAATTAATTAATTAATTTTTAAATATTTTATTTTTGTGAGAGAGAGAGAACGAGCATGCGTGGGGGGGGGGCAGAGAGAGAAGCAGACTCCCCACTGAGCAGGGAGCCTGATGTGGGACTCCATCTCAGGACCCTGAGATCATGACCTGAGCTGATAGCAGACACTTAACTGACTGAGCCACCCAGGTGGCCCTGTTGGCTCTGTCTTAAGTCACTCTAATGGGCCTGATTTATGTTGTTGTTGTTAATCGTGTGGTTTTGGCAGTTTCTGCCTTTTGAGTTTGAATTCTTGCTCTGTAATTTACAAAGTTATGCAATCCTGAGCAAGTAACTTAAACTGAATCTTTTACTCCAAGTGAGCATAATAATACCCATCTATTAGGGTTGTTGTAAGAATTAAGTGGGTAATAAATGTGCAATATGAAACATAATACCTGCTTCATCACAAGCTTTCGATAAATGTTAGCTATTGTGACAAAGATGGTGGTGGCGGTGACAAGGATTCCTTGGAGTCCTGATTTGGTGTTTTGTACCTAGTTCTGTCCAATTATGTGACATGGCAAAAACAACAGCTAGAGACAGAGAGACATCAGGAAACAAAAGGTTGATTGATTTAGAGTGGTGGGATCAAAACAAGATGTGCCAAGTCCCACCCATTGTTGGAAGGAGGTCTTCCAAGCAATGACGGCTTTTGGAAAGATAACTTGGTTTCATGGAAAACATATTACACTGTGTCATTAATCTTGAATTTCAGTTTGAGGTTCTAAGTCATTTGTTATTAAAAGAGTTAATACATGTGAAGTACCTAAAACAGTGCCTGGTACACAGAAAGTACTCTGTAAATGTTTCTATCATTATAAGCTGTTATCATTCGTTCATTTAGTTTTCCCATAATCTAACAAATATTTAGTGAGGGTCTGCTAGCTGCCAAGTTGCCTTCTAGACATGCTGGGTTCAGGGTGAACTAGATAAACAGTTGCCATTTTGAAGATAAGGTTCTAGCAGAGGGGAGATTTGCTAATCTTGGGTCAGGTCTCTAAGCCCTTCTGGGTCTTAATGACTTCATCAGTAAAATAAAGTTTGGCCATAAAATCTTACAATAGTGTCTTCCAATGACACTATTTTCCTGGCTGACTATATGCTGATTATTTATTTATATATTAAATTTTTATTGATACCTACCATATATAGGCACTGTGCTAGGTGCTAGGAATATAGTAGTAACTAGAGCAGACACAGCATCTGCCCTCATAGAGCATTAAGTCAATGCACAAGGCATAGGTTGACTAGGTAATTGTGAGCTTGATTAGTGTTATTACAGAGGGTAAAATGCTAGGCTTGTGTTATTGATTTATATGACAGAAACAAAATATATATATTACTCTTGATAGAAGGGCCATTATAAAACATTAATCCAGATTTTTTTTCCTCCCATTTTTTGAGTTTATATTATCTTTTCTGCTTAAACAGGAGCAGTTGGACATCACGGAGACAACTTGGTAGAGAAGATCATTTCAGTGCTTCCCCAGCTTCCAGGCCACACCAATGACGTGATGGTTAACATGGTGGAGCTTACGGCACTCCAAAATGAGGAGAAAAATCAGAGTATGGTTGCACCAGGCTGTCTTGCACAATCCAAGTAAGATATACAGGTTCTTTTTCTTCTCTCATCCTTCTCCCTCTTTTCTTTTTCTCTGAGGCCAACTATTTCTGTAGGAAGGAAGCAATGAAGAGTTGGCCTGGTTGAAAAATTCACAGTGGATAACATTTAGAAAAAAGCATTTTCCCTCCTTACTTTGAAATAATGATACCCATTAAACAACAATAAGCCAAAAAGTATGGAAGTGTCATTTATAGAGATGTCATTTGGATGTAATATAAGTTTGTTCTGAGGATCGATTAAGTGGGTCAATTTATACGTCTCCATTCCACAAATGGTTTCACATGGAATCCAGACTTACTCAATTTCTTTTTCCCAGTGGGCTTTTTCACATGACTAAATAATCGCCCACAAAGCTATGAACCAGTGCCATCTTTCTGAATGTAAACAATATGCTCTGGGACATCAATGAGAGAAGTTTTTATTTCTGTATATACTATTCACATGCTTAGAGAAGTCAGAAAAAGAAGATGGTATACTTCATGTTATGCAGAGTTTCAAAAATAGAAAAACATTTCTCCAGAACCATGACAATAAAAAGCTAGCAGTAGTTATCTCCTCTACTTTGTCCTTCATCAGTAATTCTTATGAGGAAAAAAAAAGGTGAAAAGGTATCTGAGTATCTGTTTCCCTTATCTCTCTGTTTTTAATTTTTAAACAAAACAGGATCTTTTCCATTATAGTTTCAAATCTTAATAGTAACAGATATATTTGGAATTTCCTAAAATATCTGGAATTAGTTTTCATCTCTTGAATTTTTCAGCTTTTTTTTTTTTTTTTTTTAGGTAGTTCATAACATTTATTGCATGCCCGGGGTGTATGGGCCAGTGTGGGATGAAAATGGAAAGTTCTGCACCCTTTCTTTTTTGTATACTTATACACACAGTAAAAACATAGGTCATGTGCTCACTTGGGTAGCACATATACTAAAACATAGGCCTTGAGCTTGCAGCTATACAAACCCGTAAGTAATTGTAATTGGAGATATTTGTAGCTGTTCAGAGGGCCATTCAAAAATTACTTATCAAGGACTTACTATGAGCCTTCTCTGGACTAAGTAGTATGAAGGACATAAAATAATAAAAAGTATCATTTTTGCCTTCAGCGACTACTTTTCTTATTGGGGTAGTTCTTTTTACACACGGGTTCAAGTAAAACACAATAGAAATTACATGGACTCAAGACTCAGGTGTCTGTTACAGACTATAAATTCTACAAAGTATCAGGTCCACATGGCCTTTGTAGATCAATGTGGGCCTTGTGGAAGTGGTGATGCTTGACTTAATAATGTCTTGAAGAATTTAGAAAAAGAAAAGGGCTAACATGAGCATAGGTATGGAAACAAGAATGATCAGGGCCTGATAGGATGGGGTATGAGGAAGAAAGACCACCTCACTGCCAATCAATTTCTCTGTAAAAGGGGAATTGAAATGAATTACAGCTTTTGTAGTATAAACTGTACTTCCATCAAGATAATAACAACCACTACTACCTCCTACACCACTCCCCAAAACTTCTCAGGGAAAGCAGTATGAGGATAAAAAAATTAGTACTAAAATGAAAACAGATGGGTGCTTGGCAATAGGCAATGTGCCTGCAATGGGATAATCTTTAGAAAGCAAGTCTCTAACTATGATATAATCCTTGATAATCAAAATTTACTGCTAATATAATTTTTATAAAAGGCTGTGCATAATCCTAGCAATTAAAGTTACTGCCAATGCAAATGAGAAATTGATAACTTTAAATGAATTATAACTTGGCTTTCCAGTCCTTGTCCATTGGTCCCTGGATTACGTGGAATCTTGTGTTCAAGAAGGAAGCAGAATCTTTTCTGTTCTTATGTGTTCCTTCTGTTGAAATGGGTTTCTATTCTCTGCTCCAGCTCCACTCTCTCTAATCTATTACTCTTTCAGTTCCTTAAGTGCCCTACACCTAATGCCCCAGCTGCATTTGCTACGTCCGGCTTGCTGCCCCTGACTCTGGCTGAACCCAGCACCCACGTGCCCACTTCTCCCAAAGCTCCCCATATGCCTTCAGGTCTTTCTTCCATCTTAGCACTTCTAGCCCTTCCTATTTCATTCCCCTGTTTTATTGTTTTTCTCCTTAGCACTCTCTAATATACATATACTTACTTATATTGTATTTTTTTAATGTTTTATTTATTTATTGAGAGAGACAGAGATAGTGAGAGAGAGCATGAGTGGGAAGGAGGGGGCTGAGCAGGGAGCCTGATGCGGGGCTCAAATCCCAGGACCCTGAGATCATGACCTGAGCCAAAGGCAGATTGCTTAACTTACTGAGCCACCCAGGTGCCTCTATGTTGTTCTATTTTTGTGTCTTCCTTTCCTAGGGGGCAATAGAGAAAACTCTCCGTTAGAAAGTTCCCTCAGAGGAGAGAGATTTGTCTGTTTTATTCACTGTGATGTCCCCAGTGCCTAGAACAATACCTGGCACTCAAGGGATATTTGTTGAGTGATAAGGGCAGGATCCGTGTGTGGAATGAGGCTGCTGAATTAAGAGAGGGTGAAGCCAAACCCGAGCATAGGAGAGATTAGTTTGCAGATGTCTAGATTCTAATTATTGAATATATGAAATGCTCTCATTATGTTAGCAAAACAGAGCAAAATTGGCCAGGCGATTCTACTTGTGGGACTTCTTTCATGGATGTATTCTGCACACATGTAGAATGATATATTCATTCATCACTAATTTGTAATTGCAAATGGAAATAACTGCAGTGTCAGTTCAGTAAATTGTGTTACACTAATGTGATGAAATTTCAAATATCTATTGAAATAGAATGAAGAATGAAGTTGTTTATATACTGATAAGCAGTGAGCTTGATGACATTTTAAATGAAAAAAGTGGGGTATAACATGCCTATTTGTACAAAAGGGTGAAATACACACATTTGCTTTTGATACACTGCAAATATCCATATATATATTTTACATATATATATCTGAAAAAATGTATAAGGAACTGGTGATATTGGCTTCCTCTGTAGAGGGATGCTGCAGTCTGGGGGTACCCTGAGAAGTTAGTGAAATGAATAAAGACAGAGGAAGGAGGGACATGTTCTACTCCGTATACCAGTTTGTGTGCTTTGAATTTCCAATCCTGTGAATGTATTTCCTATTAAAAATAAATAGAGATTAGATTTAAATAAAATCACCGTTTCCTTCTTAAGCTAACTTAAGATGGGATTCTGTGCTCCTGGGAAGGAAAGTAGCTGTCTCTTATTTTGGAATCTCTGCAATGCTTTTCTCCCTCTACATTGTCTTCCCTCTTCAATGAACCATCCTTTCCTTTAAAACTTCTTATTAAAATGCCAAAACCTGGGGTGCCTGGGTGGCTCAGTTGGTTAAGTGTCTGCCTTTGGCTCAGGTCATGATCCCAGGGTCCTAAGATGGAGCCCTGCATTGGGCTCCCTGCTCAGCAGGGAGTCTGCTTCTCCCTCTCCCTCTGCCTGCTGCTCCCCCTGCTTGTGCTCTCTCTATCAAATAAATAAATAACATCTTTAAAAAAATGCCCAAACCCTGCACTGTAATTATTTGTTTCATGTTCTGTCTCCCCTTGTAGATTGTAAATTCCTTGAAGGTAGTAACTGTGCCTGGAACTTTTTTTTTTTTTAAAGATTTTATTCATTTATTCATGAGAGACAGAGAGAGAGAGGCAGAGACAGAGGGAGAAGCAGGCTCCCCAAGGAGCAGGGAGCCCAGTGCGGGACTCGATCCCAGGATCCTGGGATCATGACCTGAGCCGAAGGCAGACGCTTAACCATCTGAGCCACCCAGGCACCCTGTGCCTGGAACTCTTAAGAGGTGTTATTAAATTGAATAAAACAATGAATAAATGCTTGAATAAGTCTTAATAATAGATTGAGACCAAGTTTAAAAATGATTATGTCAATCCATGAAAAGCCTTATCTACTTCACTTTAGCACTTAAGCCACTGTCTAGTATTGTTGATTGATATCTATCTAATCTATCTTACTTCTTCCTTTAAGTTTCTTCTTTGTACTTTACTCCAAATTTACCTCATTGTCTAGGTCAGTGAGAAGGAAGGAAGGTAACACGGAGTGCCTGAATTTTGTTAGGCATTATGAGAAGTATTTTAAAATGTACTTAAGTAACTTGCCCTTAGCCAAACTTTCCCTAAGTGATTGTATTGGGTCATTTAACAAATTATTTTTTAATTCCAGGGCAAATTTCTTTTCCGCTATATCATGACTCTGATACATGCTTACTTGAATGAATGTATAAATAAATCATAATTCAGAAATAGTGGGTATCCTAGTTTATAAAAAGCAATATTTAAGTCCAGTTTTCTTGTTAGTTTTTATTTTGGAGGTGGGGTTTTTTTTCCTAGACTATACAACAATGAAATAAATGGGGTAGATCTTATGGAAAAGAGACAAATGCCACAGTGGTTTCAACTTAAACAATGATGAGCCAATTTGTTGTTGAATTTCACAATGTCGAGTAACCTGATAATTGATGTATATCAAAGTCACTAACTAGACCCTTTAAGTCAAAAATTGTTAAATCACTTCTTAATAGCCATACATTTTTCTCCTCTTTCCTTAGTTTCCAAGTACCAATTAAATATTACTATTAGAGACAACATTTTCAGAGGGAATAAAGGTAATTTTTCTTAGAGCAGAGCCAGAGGTACTAGTCTGATTTTAAATTTACCTACAGATAGAATGACTGAACTTGTATGTGAACATTATGTAAAGTGTATTTAATGTTGAGCTTGAGGTGAAGAGCCAGCACACAAGAGGGTGTGTTATCACATAGCAGTGTTGTGAATGACCTTGGCACTGATACAGACTATGGGCATCTCCTCCTGATATGATACCAAAAAATAAACTGATATTTAAAAAAACTATTCGGGATGCCTGGCTGGCTCAGTTGGTAGAGCATCCGACTCTTGATCTCAGTGTTGTGAATTCAAGCCCCACATTGGGCATG